CTGTGATTCATACATCAAGAAAGTCATAGGTAGAGGTTTCTTTGAGGATAACTGCAATGAACCTGAAGAGCAACAGCTGGCTGTGGATAGTGAATACAGCATGGTCCGGTCAGTTTTGAGAAGGCTTTTCAGATGTGTTGTCTTCTGAAAATCCACAAAGATGACAAACCACTAGGAGAGCAAGAACTTCACTTTTAAGAGAGTGGATGGAAGTCAGATCAGCTGAGCTGGTTTTCTCATTTTTTTTCCCAGGTGACCAGTTAACACCTCCACCCTCACCCCAAGTGTTAACATTTTAGGCAGGGCTTTGAAACATGGAAGGTGATCAGTTAGGAGGAACTCCCAAAGACTGTGTTCAGTAGATCCCTTCATTTTATTATTGCTGTCCTTTAGTACCAAGCTGTAGAAACTGAGACCAACTGACTTCTTGGGCCAGACTTAGCATATGTTTCTGCTGGCAGAAGGCCAGGCCCCAAAAGCAGAAAGCACGCCAGGCAGCAAAGTTGAAACGATAGGAAAACCACCTTCTTTCTGCTCTGGAGCCCGCAGAGACCAGCACCAGCTCAGAGCTGGGCAGCCACTGAAATGGGAAAGGGCGGTGCCAGGATCTCAGCTCCTTTCGTGGCACAACTTCCAACAAGCATAACTTTACCTTTCTAGTAGTACTCAGGAAGGAAGACAGGTATAAACACTACCTTATGCCTTCTCTACTTGGTCTTCTCTTGGGCTGTACTAGCAGCTCAATCCTAACTAAGAGAAACCACTCCCAGGGCTTACACTGGAAGATATTTAAAAACAACATGCTTGTAGTTCAAGCCTGCTTTGCTTCCATGAAGAGCATGCATATGCATGTATACACTCGTTAAAGACATTACATGAGCCATACAAATCCGACAGGACTCTTCAGTCAATGTCAAGGGAGAAGACATGTCTTTACCCTGCCAAGTCCACAGCAAAGCTCATAATACCTTGCTCCAGCCAAGTTCCACAAAGAAGAAAGAAAGAAAAATCCTTCTCCTCTGGTTACCCTCTAGCTCTCTTCCTGAGCAGTCTTCTCCATTCATACTGTTAGCCCCAGCCCACAAGGCTTCTCATGGAGGAGGAAGGAGAGAAATTAATTCTTCACAGCTGGTTCTGTCCTGCAATGCCTTGCTTGTAGGACAGGCAGCTGTAGCCTTTCTGGCCAGAAAGGGAGGGTTAACTCCTACCCTGCCAAGTTTCAGATGGACAACATCCAAAATGATCTTCTTGCCTTCAACTTTCCCAAGCGGATGCGTTCTGGCCTGGGTAAATGAGATATATGTCCATATCTATATCCACGAGTATACTGACAAATAACATCCCTATACCTCTGCCGTCTCTAAGGCAGATGGATAAAACCTGCCCCTTCCTAGCTGCTGTGATCCTCCAGGGATATTTTATGCAAATGATTTAATGAGCATACTTGCAAAGGATTTGCATACAGGCATAAACTTAGCACAAGCGTGCAGCCAGAGCACAAAAGCAAAAATCCTGGCCCAGAGGGCTGGGAACGAGGAGGTGCGGGATGCCGGCACTCCACCCTGCCTGAGACTGGCGGTGAGCGTGTCCCTCCCCTGCCAGAGGGACCGATGTTCTCCGGTTGCGTCCCTTGTGCAGGATGAGTAACTGCTGACTGCAAGCTCAAACCCCAGTTAAAGTCAAGCATGACTTTCCTCAGCCCTGTTTCCACCCCTCTCTCATGTACAGCCCCCCATTCCCACTTGCTACCCTCAGCAGGGGCTGCCAGAGAAAGGAGAAGGAGCAGCGGCAGGAGGAAGCGAGGGAGCAGCAATGGGAGGATATTTATGGGGTTTTTATCTGGATCTTGACAGCCCCTGTTTTGGTGGGGAGGGAGTGAAAGAAGAGCACCTCAAAGCTTGTGCTCGGCATAGGGAAATTTATGTTGACTTCCCCTGAGCGGCAGGCAGGTGCCTGCCTGCACAGGGCTGCACGGACGGCCCCGCGACTCAACGCAAAGGCGCAGGGACCCTTCTCTGGGGAAGGCAAGGGGAGGATGACCCTGCAGCGCAGAAGGAAAGGTCCCGGCCTCACTTGCCGGGGAAAAGACGGCTGCCGGCACAGGGCGCAGCCAGATGCAGGACGGCCGGGAAAGACAGCGGGTTGGGTGACAGCAGGCTGGGCTGCAGGTGTGGGTGTAAGAGGAGACACGTTACACTTGGCAGCCAGGGCCTCGAGCGGGCCTTGGAGAGCGCAGCTGATTGGGAATGAGTTATGGAGCTGGCCGCCTGCAGCATGCTTGCTCAGAGTGGGGGAAGCCCGGTCCCGTGAGATGTCCTGCAGCAGGGGTCCGGAGCCCGGGAAATGCTGGAGCAAGAGGGGGGCAAATCCTGCCACCACACCCCTGGGTGCAGAAGAGTTCGCTGGCCTATTGGAAGAGTCCAAGACACCCCAAGGGCCACACAGGACCTTTTGCTTTTCATCTTATCTAACTTTATCGCCCCCAAAATGCTAGTGGGCGGCAGCCCCCGCAGGAAGGCAGGGACTGCGCGGGAGGCTGGACTGTCCCCCTTCAGGGCTGGTCCTGCATGGATGGTCTGACGTGGGTTATCCAAGCTGCAAGGGATGGCTCCTCTTAGCCTTGCTCAAGCATTCATCTCCAGATCTGGCCACCGGGCTTTTTTAAAAACTCAAAGTTTGTATGTTAAGAAATATTTTTGCCATGTTTTCTGAAAACCGTCACTATCTGTGCATAATGATAATGAAACAACTTTGCATACCTGCAGAAGAAAAGAGTGAATATCCATAGCACTTGAGAAATAATAATAACCACAGTGAGAGAACTAAGGAGCTCAGGCTGAAAATGGGGCTGCAGCACCAAGAAGAATAAAATGAAAATTTCCCTGAGCAGAGAGAATGCCTGGAAATAGCTGCACCTCCCCTCTCTGGTCCTGTGAAGTCAGGTTACAGCGAGAAAAGGCATTTTTAAATGGCACTAGAGTTTTTGAGTACTGTAGAATACTTAAAAAGGCGAAACCAAAGCACAAAAAGAGCATGCAGTGTGCTCAAGGTAACAAAGAAATTCTGTGATACAGCAGGTAACCGAGCTTGGCTCTGTAGAGCCTGAGCATATGCTCTAACTATTGGATCATCTTTCTTCTGTATTACATTTGCTTAGCTTGGTGATAAAAATATATGCCTTCCTCCACAGGCATATTGACCGCATAATGCTGAACGTAGATTATGAGGTTTTATGTTTGTTTATGATGATACATGCAAACAAAATACCTGTCTTGCAAAATATTTTGGCTGCCATCCACCGCAAAACAATCGTTAGGCAGAAAGCTAGTCTAAGAAACTCCTTCCCTTCAGCCACCAGAAAAAGTAATTATAAACTAAAGAGCATTTGCCTATTTGGAAGCCAGCGAGCAGCACAGCTGGACAAGGGTAGGGCCCCAGCAAAGTTTCCGATTAGCAAAAAGCAGTGACTTTAAAATAACACCTCGAACCTAGGCCCTAGCCCTCCCTCAGCTCCCTCCTGCTTTCCCTTTGCCGCCTTCTAAAGGCGGTTACACCAGAGGTTATCTTAACCAAAAAAATGCTTGAATGCAGTTATGTTGGGAGGCACAGTTTCAAAGAGAGGACACAGAATAATTAAAAGCAATATTCACCGCTCCACTTCAGAGAGCTCCTGTTTGAGCTCAGGAGGGATGAGAGGGAAAGTAAGGGATGCTTCCTGGAGAGCAAGTAAGGTGAATCAGGACAGCAGAGGGGTAGGCTCAGGACAGGGGGGAGATAGGAAACCGGAGCAGATTGTGGCGAGTGGGAGACGTGGGTGGGGAAGGAGAAGCAGGTCTGTAGGTGGGGAAGCAGGAAAGCAAGGGGAGCGGGGCGGACAAGAGGATTTTGGAGAGCGGCTAGCCAGCTGGCACACATATAGCAGCTGCTGCTGTGTCAGCCTAGGAGAGTAGCTGCAGCTGCACGCTGGCCATGAATAGCAGAGGAGCAGTGTGCCGGCTGGCTGCTGGAGGGACGGGAGGCAGCCGGGGCGCTGAAAAGGCAGGGAGAGGCTCTGTGAAAGGTTTTCCGTGCAGGGGAACATGACAGCCCTTTGATTTCTGAGCTGTTTGTTCTCCAATTGTCCGCTCCGGTGGATGATCAGTACTAAAGAGTTAAAATGGGGGTGGGGTGGGGGGAAGAGAAACAGAAGGAAAACTTAGGTCCTACATGCGGATCTGGGCTTTGATAGCATATCCATAGCGTGCAGTTGTCTGGATGTATAGCTTTCATAGTTGTCAGCAGGGATCAAAATCACAGGGTGCTTAAACTAAAGGAGAAATCTCTGCTCAGTTACTCTCATACTTGCTTGAGCCACCACTGGAGGAGGACATGATCCCACCACTTGGCCATCTGCTCTGTGTACCGCACATGTCACTGAGAGCACTCTATAAGCGATCCTGTGTGAACTCCTAGGCGGCTGTGGGTGCGTGCACCCTTTGTGCTTCTACGTGAGTGTGGGTGCACGCATCCCATGCGCTCCTCCATAGCTATGGGTTCATGCTCCTCAGCAGCTGCGGGTGCATGCACCCCACGCACTCCTCTGGGGCTGTGGGTGCTCCCACCCCATACACTCCTCCATAGCTGTGGGTACACACACCGTGCTCCTACATGGCTGTGGGCGCTCCCAAGCAGTGCAGTCCTCCATGACTGTGAGTGCATACAGCGTACGTACTCCTCCACAGCTGTAGGTGATTCCACCCTGTGCACTCCTCTACAGCTGTGGGTGCTCCCCACCCTGTGCACTCCTCCACAGCTGTGGGTGCATGAACCATGCATGCTACATTGCTGGGGTGCTCCCACCCCAAGCATTTCTCCTTGACCGTGTGTGCTTGCATCACACGTGCTCTTCCACGCCTGGCCACGCACACACCCCGTGTAGCTCTACAGGAGCGTGGATGCACATACCCCATGTGCTCCTCCACGGCCAGGGGCGCGCCCACCCTCCGCACCCCTCCACCGCCATGGCGTGCACATATCCCACGGTTATTCCTCCAGCACTGTGGGTGCAAG